GATCAGAATAATCCACCAAATAATGTGGTAAACTGAGACATCTAAAACCAATAATGGAGTGACCCATTTTTGGGGCCATGGTTTCTATTACATTACATTATATATTGATAGAACAACGGTTCAACAAGTTGTTTTCCAAGAATGTTCACTAAGAGTATCGCAAAAGTAGGTCGCACACTGTGTTTCAGAGTAGTGTTGGAGTTGTTAGAGATTGTTGTAAAGAAATATTGTTGTCTCGTGTTAGGTTTGCCAAAATTAAAATACATGCTGCAAACGTATATCTCAAGACAGGCAGGGGGATTTTCTTTTTCAGTTTACTTTACAGTTGCCAAATCCATCGTTGTCCAAGGTGCAAGGTGATCTCAAGTGTGCGCGCAGGAAAATCATGTCATCAACAGCCTGACACTCAAAAATGTGCAAATGGGACAAGTGTGAGTTCCCCAAAGCAAATCAATCATGACTAATCATCCTATCATGGCTGGACTGGGATCAACTCATAAAATTTGAATGCGTGCAGCCAAATTCCATTGCAAACCACCCGGATGGACACCGCACCCACCTGGGCCACCCCATGTTTGCCACTCTCACGCGGAGACCTGGCAGCCAAATTCCAGTTCCGGGTGCTTAAAAATAGACATCCCCAAAACCCTATGCTTCATGGTTTTCACAAGGTTTTTGCATTCCACTGACCAAAATAGGGTGTCTATATTTTTTCTATTTATATTTTGGAGAGACACGGGGAACGAAAGCCAGCTCTTATAATGAAAACCCCTGCGCACAGCAAATTGCCTGCATGTAGGAACTTTAACATTGAAATCCCCCAGTTGTAGCATAGCCCTAACTGCACAGAAAACGTTGAAGCCTTCAGTCTTTCTTTCGAGCAATATATTTTTCTCATCCATATTTGTTTCACTGGCTAGAAACCCGACTGAGGGGGAACCGATACTCTATTGCGGCAAACTTCCTGCGCGTAACACCTTCAAAATTGGAGTTCTTCTGTTGGAGCAATCCCGTCACCTTCAAAATTGGATTTTTCCAGTTGCAGCGAACCCGCAAGCATCACGACTGCACGTACTCCAGGGGTCGCTTTCCTAAAACTCTGTTGGTCAGCTACATATCACTAATCTCTTAGGCAACATCTCTCGCTCTATCGATTTCTCTGACTGGCTACTGAGCTCACCCACGAAAACCCAGACCGAGGGGGAATCGGCCAATTTCCAGCGCGTAACACCTTCAAAACTAGAGCTCTTAAAAGGAACACGCTGTTATTGGCTTAACATATGACATAAGCTCAACATGGCCCGAAGATGGCCCCAGCCTCCAAAGAGCCTAACATGCATCAACATAAGCCCAACATAGGGTCCATATACGCCCAACATGGTCCCGACATGATCCAAAAACGGCCTGTTCCTTTTGGGCCGGGTAAAGGCTAAAAACGAATACGCCGTTCTTGGCTTAACATAAGCTCAACATGGCTCAAATATGGCCCCAACATAGCCTCCAAGAGCCTAACATAGATCAACATAGGTCCAACATAGGCTCCATATACGCCCAACATGGTCCCGACATGATCCAAAACGACGTCTTCCTTTTGGGCCGGGTAAAGGCTAAAAAGGAACGGGCTGTTCTTGGCTTAACATAAGCTCAACATGGTTCAAATATGGTCCCAACATAGCCTCCAAGAACCTAACATAGATCAACATAGGTCCAACATAGGCTCCATATACGCCCAACATGGTCCCGACATGGTCCAAAAACGACGTCTTCCTTTTGGGCCGGGTAAAGGCTAAAAAGGAACGGGCCGTTCTTGGCTTAACATAAGCTCAACATGGCACTTATATGGCCCCAACATGGATCAACATAAGCCTAACATAGGTCCCACATAGGCTTAACACGGCTTAACATGAAGGTGATCTAAACATGCAGGCTGTAGATTTAGTTCTTGGTATCTGCTTCATGGTACGCCGCACGGTGATAGCATTCTGTACTTCGCAAAAGCATGTGCCACTGTCCGTCTATTTTTCCACTATCCCAGATGATGTCAACGTGTACCGTCAGAAACAGATGACGTGAAGAACCACGGTATGCAAAAGATATCGCATGTGACATTGACACTATTCCACAGCACAGCTTCCAAAGGCCAAAAGGAAAGGTCCTTCTCTGTCACAGTTCTGTGAGACTACAGCATCTGCTTATCATGGCATCTGTAATCTTTTTCTTGACAAAGTATGAAATCTGTAGAGCATGCGTTCTTCAAGGCCGGCTTTGATTCTGCTGCTTCTCCTTAGCACTACATCTGTCATGTTTGCTGTTCTCACCATATGCGCGCCTTTCTCCACTTGTCCATATCTCCATCTCACATCTAGCTCTCTAGCTGTCATCCGCTGGTAGCCAAAGAGAGATGACACGACGGTCCACTTTCAGCACACCACTTCGCATTTGCTGCTGTCTCTAGAAGCGCGGCCTGGATAGTAGCGGCCCGTCTCTGCAGTCCCTTCTCCCCGTCAAAATCTGCAAGCATAACTACCAACTGCCAGCACAAGGCCCAGTCTCCCAAGCAGGAACAACGGCATAGCTCTATGTCAGCTTGTCATTCAAACTTGCTACCAACAAAGTTCTTTGACCTCTGTGCATCTATCTATCTATCTATCTATCTATCTATCTATCTATCTATCTATCTATCTATCTATCTATCTATCTATCTATTCCATACATCCATCCATCCATCCATCCATCTATCTATCTATCTACCAATCTGCCCAGCCATCCGTCAATCCATCCATGTATCAACCGAACCCAAGTCTCTCTCTCTCTCTCCACGCCCCCATCTCTGCATCTATGTAGCTATGCTCGATCTGTCCGTCCATCCACCCATGTAATCCAGCAAGCCATCCGTCGCAATCGTTCTATCAAACAATCTTTCTGTTTACCTATCTATCTATCTATCTATCCATCCATCCATCCATCTATCTGCGTCTATGTTGCTATGTTTAGCTCGATCCGTCCATCCATCCATCGATCCAATCCATCCATCCATCGATCCAAACAGCCAGCCAGCCATCCAGCCATCCAGCCATCCAGCCACCCAGCCATCCATCCATCCATCCATTCATCCATCCGTCTCGATTTCTCTATCCATCGATCTCTATACTTACCTCTCTCTCTCTATCTACCTATCTAGTGATCTATCTATCTATCTATCTATTGAGCTCTACCCGTCTATCTATCCATCAATCTATCCGTCCATCCATCCATCCATCGAGCTGTCTATCTCTCACTCTCTCCAGCTCTCCGTGTCTCATTTCTAGCGATCTATCCCTCCACCTATCTACCGATCTATCTTTTCATCTACTTACACATCTATCTATCTGTGTATCTATCTGCCTACCTATTGATCTATTTGTCTACTTATTTAGCCCCAATATGTGTCTACCTATTTAGCCCCAGATAGCCCCAGTATCACGGACCAGGGGGGAATCGATACCCCACCGTCACCCATTTGCGAGCTAGTACATTACCCTGCAAAACACTCCCCGGGCACACCCTGAACACCACCTAATTCTAGAGAAACTGGCCCGTACGGCAACACCTTTTAGACCCCTATTCTCTCATTACGTTCGCAAAAAAAAAAAACAACTTGCCAGCTTGTCCGGCTGGCTTTCCTAAAATCGGCAATCTATCTAAAAATATATAAGTCCCTTCCTCCTGCCGGCATCTTTCCATCGGAAGAAATGGTGGCACCAGCCTCTGTAGTCGCCAGCCGCAAGGCCAGGAGTAGTAAGAGACTCGTCCCCTCGCAGCCGGTATGCAAATTGAGGAAGTTCTGACGACTATAGTATGTTTCAAACTTGTATGCCACAAATTTAAACGAAATGCGTATGTATGCTTTATTGTCTTATGCGCAGCTTATGCGCGCGTACTTATATTTGATCGTTTGGTGATATGTTACTGTAACAAACTTCTTTGCAGAAGTATTACAACCCTAGGGTTTTGCGCCGATAAATTCACAATTAAAACACGTTCGCTGGAAACCCTAGGCTTGCCCGCGGCGAATCCCGCATATCCTTTGACATGCTCAAATCCCTGCGTATGGTTCAAGTGTTTTACTTTCCAAAACAAGCCCTAAAACCCGAAAACCCCAAAACCTAAAACCCTAAAACAGTAAATTGAAACCCTAAATCCTTAAAGTCAAAATCACTGCGTATAGCCCGTGTTTTCATCCTCTGGTGATGAGTACATCATATTGTTTGGATGTCTTGTTTGTGTGTGGGCAAACCCGGGGTTTGGAGGGAACATGTTTCATATTGATTTACATGAAATGTCCAGACAGAATGTTCGCTGTGTGAACCATGTGGATTGGAGCCACCCCATTCAATTTTCCATGACTGTTGCGGATCTTCCAAAAAAACTGTAGCGATTTTGTCTCAGAAAATATGTTCCCAAAACCTGGAGGCCACCCCAAGAAATCCCTGTTTTGTGTAGCATCCAACATATAAGTTTGAGTCCCTTACTTGGGTGAAGAAAACCGAATGCCTTTTTTGAACCATCACCATCAAAAAAAATGTGGGTTATAAACTTGGGTGTCCCTTGATGCCTGGTATGATGTAGAAAGTATGACACCTCAACGCTTACTCGGAGGGTTCCTCATTAGGTTTACATAGCATACCCCCTCTACCTGGCGCAGGGCAGCACACTTCTCTGGCGGTGGATCGCCTAAGGCAAGCGGTTGTGAGGGGCGGAGCCACAACAACAGGTCAGGTGTTCAGTGGTAAACCGTGGTAAACCACTAAACAACTTAAATTGGGGGGTAGATCAGTTCCAAGTTCAAAGGCAGAGCCATTTTTGTGGGGCTCCAAATTTTCCAAGTACCAAAAACGAAACAACATAGTCTACAACGGAGGAGGCACAGGCATCACTGCAGGGGAAACAAAACACCCACGAGTCGAAAACGATCTTCCACGGGTCTTCCATGGCCAACAGCTCCCTTCTATTCTTTTTTCTCACGGCAGCAGAATCTCCCGGTCTGGTCCCATTGGGCCACAGCTTCCTTCACCCAAATCTTTCTGAAGTTCCGGAATATGGAACTTAAAGAATTCAAACATCACCATGGCCAATGAGCATCCGTCCACCCGGCGGTCTGGTATGAAGCGTTTGCCCTCTGACAGCTCTAAAGGATCCTCCACATCACGGAAGAGTGCACCAGGCAAGTGCCAACAATCGTAATAATAGTCACTATCAAATTTGCGCGCGGCTTTCCCGAGCTCACGTGAGATGCCCAAATCTGCAAGTTGCAGACCTCTGGGACATCCATCATCATCAAAGTCCTCAAACAAGATGTTCCCCAGCTTCAGGTCCCCATGCATGTAGCCAGCTGCGTGCACGCAATCCAGTCCATTGCTAATTGCCTTGAAAAGTTTGGCTGCACCTCAACAAGATGCAATTGTTCGGCATGGCTGACGCCTCCTTTCCTATCCGTTTCACTCCTTTCCAGGAAACACGCTTGGATCAAAGGTTTTTCATTTATCCCCATGGCTGACTTGGACAATCCATTGACCAAAAAAAGGGGACCCGCGATAAACTACCAACACGTCACTTCTAAAGAATAACCGGCCACCAGGCACGGAGGTCTGACACCCTCTACAAAATCACCAAACAACCAAAGACATTCTCTAAAGAATGCAGGGGTCGCTCCCCCTTGACACCCTTCAGCTTGCAGCTGCTTGTCAAAATGCCCTATCTGAAACATCATGGTCACAGATGCTCTCCAAAAAAACGGTGAGTCTGGGTTCGAGGCGAAGCAAAAAACATTATTTATGTACTGACCCAAAAAAACGTGGTTTTGCGACAACCCCGAAAATGAATAAATGTACATAGGTCAAACGTAACGTTTAATGATTGAAGTAGTGTGCTTCATAATTTCACTAAGTTTAAGCAGTAACAAGTATGTACAAGTACAAGTTGAGGATTCCATCGATCTTCAAGTCCCAGATGCACTTCACAGGACGACGCCGGAGTTTCGTTTTCCATTTCAACAGGTCCCAAGGCAAGAGCTTCGTCACGAAGGCGTTGCTCACCTCATGTCCATTCACGCAGGGGTCTTTCTCCAGTAACGGCAAGACATGCTCGCACCGGTGCTCCTCCAAGAAATTCAGATCCAAAAACCTAGTGAAAACATGTGACAACTTTTCTTAGGACTTCAACAGTCAGCTTCCAGGCACTTTTTTTCCTCAAAAAAATGTTTTCCACCACCTCCCATCCTTGGCAGCAGACATGACCGTCATCTCATGCTCAGCAGCCTCTTCTGCCTCATGGTCATCTGGATTAGGCACTTTCACAGCATATGCATAGTACTTTCGTTTTGATTTCACGAAGCTGCTGCCGAAGGCTTTCTTTCGGATTCGGTAAACCGAAGCATAATCACCTGATGGGACAACGGCTTCATGCTTTTCAAATTTCAATGTCTTTGAAAAATATGAAATTATACCAGCGTTGCCCCAAACAGAAGGAGCAAACGTAATTTGCCGACTTGCTGCCCGCCATAAGACCATAGGATACCATAGGTGCAAAAAGGGAAGCACAGAGACAAAAGTGGCAGAGTGGTGGGACAAGCGGTAGGGCAAGTGAAATCCGTCTGTCCCAAGGACAGCACAAAGACAAAAACAGAAGACAATTGAGAGTGAGTAGGGACCAAGATAAAAAAAAAACATGTTTTGCGTCACAATTCCGGCGCAAACAAGAATGAAGTGGGAAACAAGTGAGGGACAAGTGATGTGACAAAGGAACTTCTTCCGTCCCAAGGATGTGGCCCGTTTCAAACGAACTGTTTGGGTTTGGGGAATGATGGGACCCCCCACCAACCCAAGGCCACAGCACCGGGAGAATGCGCCGGAGGGACTCACAATGTAGTGGGAAATGAATGGAAAACAAACACGGGACAAATGCAAAATCATGCGGCCAAGGCACCCAAAGGCACCCAAAGGGAGGCAAGTAAGTGAGAGAGAGTTGGAGACAAGTAGGAGACAGCGGCCCAGAACACCCACAGCATACTGGGAGACGGTCGGTGACAAGTAGAAGACAAGTGGGAGATAAATGGGAGACAGAGCCACAATCATGCGGCCCAGGCACGCAGCTCTTTCAAAGGACAAGAACCCCATACAGGTAAACCTGTTTGGAAAAAATAACGTATAAAAGATTGTTACACTTTTGCTCATCCACTCCTTCCAACAATTTCCAACCATTTCCAACCAACCTCAGTCTGCCAAACAGCCTTCAAAAAGTTGCAGATCACCCAGATCACCTCAAATTCCAATGAGATTCCTGCGCCTGCTCCAATCTTCACTGGATCCGCATATTTCGACGCACACCCCTCCAGTTGCAGTGCTGAGGCGAAGTCGCGCCGCTGATGCGGACGCCTCCCACGCGTCGCATGCCGTGGGGTCAAGGGCTGGGTCCAGTGCAAGCTGAACTCCTCGTCAAACTCCTCCGGAAGTTGGAATTGTTCTGACATCCCTCACGGAAAGGCAAACTACATGTAGATTAAAAATATCTGGAAACCAGCTATGTTACTAGATGCCAACATCAAACTGATCTTGCCATGCTTGGGCATAATGTCTCTACCAAGTCCTCCACATCGGTATCTTCGATATGCCAGACACCACAACTGGCATAACCACCAGTAGGCAGAAAGCTGTGCCAAGTAGACCATATTGCAAACACAATGGCTGAATGAAGGAATTCACTGGTTGTCACCAACCAGGTCTGGAAGACAACGGAAGGGATTGTAGCTGCTCGAGCCACATCTCCATGAAATGCCATCTTGGCAGAGGCAAAAACAATGATCTCTTCCGGCACAGATCCGTTCCATTTTTACGATCAACAAACACCCATGATTTTGGACAGACCCATACACAAGATGCAAGTGGAAGTTTATGAATTTCATTCAGTGTTTTGCGGAGGTCTGGCGGTGACATCCACTTCATTGATGCCAGAAATGGAGAATGTTCACATTAGTTCCAATTGAAATCTGCCAGCCATGGGAAAAGAAAAGTTGGTGCCAATCCCTTCGGAAACGCGGCCACTGGGAGTTGTGAATTTTCTGAACTATGGGAAACTCAAAGAACAAATGTGGAATGATGAAGTTGTACGATCCAAAAGAAGCCTGCATTAAACAAGTCCGGGTCGCAACTACAAGTCCCCCAAAATCTAACATGGAACCCAAAAAGGTCGACGTACCCCAATGATAAAATCATCTTCGACACCCCATGTTTCAGGTGCCATTTTCCCTAAAAGGGCCTTATTGCCCTGCAGGCCCACTGAGCCCCTCACATGGTCCTTCTTCCTCCTTCTCTCCTTCGCACTCAGCACCTGTGGAGCTTGGCTGGGGGCCGTATGGATGATGAAAGTAAACTGCAATAGAAGGAATAGTGGTAAATACTTCATTAAAAAAACAAAAAAACAACAACCTGAGAAGGGGGGAACGAAAGCCAGCATCCCATCTACCCCTATTTTCCACCAAACTTTTCACCCAGAGACTCTTCAATACATTTCACCCATATACTTTTCACCCAGAGATTTTTCACCCAGAAACTCTTCTTGCACAGACTTTTCACCCATATACTTTTCACAAAGAGACTCTTCACCCAATTTTTTTCTTGCACATACATTTCACCCATATACTTTTCACCCAGAGATTTTTCACCCAGAAACTCTTCTTGCACAGACTTTTCACCCAGAGACTCTTCACCCAGAAACTCTTCTTGCACATACTTTTCACCCATATATACTTTTTACCCAGAGACTTCACCCAGAAACTCTTCTTGCACATACTTTTCACCCAGATACTTTTCACCCAGAGACTCTTCACCAGAAACTCTTCTTGCACATACATGTCACCCATATACTTTTCACCCAGAGATTCTTCACCCAGAAACTCTTCTTCCACAGACTTTTCACCCAGAGACTCTTCACCCAGAAACTCTTCGTGCACATACTTTTCACCCATATACTTTTTACCCATATACTTTTCACACAGAGACTCTTCACCTAGAAACTCTTCTTGCACATACTTTTCACCCATATACTTTTCACCCAGAGACTCTTCACCCAGAAACTCTTCTTGCACATACTTTTCACCCATATACTTTTCACCCAGAGACTCTTCACCCAGAACTCTTCTTGCACATACTTTTCACCCATATACTTTTCACCCAGAGACTCTTCACCCAGAAACTCTTCTTGCACATACTTTTCACCAATATACTTTTCACCCAGAGACTCTTCACCTAGAAACTTTTCTTGCACATATTTTCCACCCATATACTGTCACCCAGAAACTCTTCTTGCACATATTTTTCACCCAGAGACTCTTCAACTAGAAACTCTTCTTGCACATACATTTCACCCATATACTTTTCACCCAGAGATTCTTCACCCAGAAACTCTTCTTGCACAGACTTTTCACCCAGAGACTCTTCACCCAGAAACTCTTCTTGCACATACTTTTCACCCATATACTTTTTACCCAGAGACTCTTCTTGCACATACTTTTCACCCATATACTTTTCACCCGGAGACTCTTCACCCGGAAACTCTTCTGGCACATACTTTTCACCAATATACTTTTCACCCAGAGACTCTTCACCTAGAAACTTTTCTTGCACATATTTTTCACCCATATACTTTCACCCAGAAACTTTTCTTGCACATACTTTTCACCCATATACTTTTCGCCCAGAGACTCTTCACCCAGAAACTCTTCTTGCACATACATTTCACCCATATACTTTTCACCCAGAGATTCTTCACCCAGAAACTCTTCTTGCACAGACTTTTCACCCAGAGATTCTTCACCCAGAAACTCTTCTCGCACATACTTTTCACCCATATACTTTTCACACATATACTTTCACCCAGAAACTCTTCTTGCACATACTTTTCACCCATATACTTTTCACCCATATACTTTCACCCAGAAACTCTTCTTGCACATACATTTCACCCATATACTTTTCACCCAAAGACTCTTCACCTAGAAACTCTCCTTGCACAGACTTTTCACCCAGAGACTCTTCTTGCACATACTTTTCGCCCATATATTTTTTACCCAGAACACTTCACCCAGAAACTCTTCTTGAACATACTTTTCACCCATATACTTTTCACCCAGAGATTCTTCACCCAGAAACTCTCCTTGCACAGACTTTTCACCAAGAGACCCTTCTTGCACATACTTTTCGCCCATATACTTTTTACCCAGAACTCTTCACCCAGAAACTCTTCTTGCACATACTTTTCACCCATATACTTTTCACCCAGAGACTCTTCACCCAGAAACTCTTCTTGCACATACTTTTCACCCATTTACTTGTCACCCAGAGACTCTTCACCCAGAAACTCTTCTTGCACAGACTTTTCACCCAGAGACTCTTCACCCAGAAACTCTTCTTGCACATACTTTTCACCCATGTACTTTTCACCCAGAGACTCTTCACCCAGAAACTCTTCTTGCACATACTTTTCACCAATATACTTTTCACCCAGAGACTCTTCACCTAGAAACTTTTCTTGCACATATTTTTCACCCATATACTTTCACCCAGAGACTCTTCTTGCGCCTACTTTTCACCCAGATACTTTTCACCCAGAGACTCTTCACCCAGAAACTCTTCTTGCACATACTTTTCACCAATATACTGTTCACATCTTTTCACCCAGAGACTCTTCACCCAGAAACTCTTCTTGCACAGACTTTTCACCCAGAGACTCTTCACCCAGAAACTCTTCTTGCACAAACTTTTCCCCCATATACTTTTCACCTAGGGACTCTTCACCCAGAAACTTTTCTTGCACATATAATGGTCCCACATCGGAGCCTCAATTTTACTTTTCACCCATATACTTTTCACCAATATACTTTTCACCCAGAGACTCTTCACCTAGAAACTTTTCTTGCACATATTTTTCACCCAGAGACTCTTCTTGCACATACTTTTCACCCATATACTTTTCACCCAGAGACTCTCCACCCAGAAACTCTTCTTGCACATACTTTTCACCCATATACTTTTCACCCAGAGACTCTTCACCTAGAAACTTTTCTTGCACATATTTTTCACCCATATATTTTCACCCAGAAACTCTTCTTGCACATACTTTTCACCCATATACTTTTCACCCAGAGACTCTTCACCTAGAAACTCTTCTTGCACATACATTTCACCCATATACTTTTCACCCAGAGATTCTTCACCCAGAAATTCTTCTTGCACAGACTTTTCACCTAGAGACTCTTCACCCAGAAACTCTTCTTGCACATACTTTTCACCCATATACTTTTTACCAAGAGACTTCACCCAGAAACTCTTCTTGCACATACTTTTCACCCAGATACTTTTCACCCAGAGACTCTTCACCCAGAAACTCTTCTTGCACATACATGTCACCCATATACTTTTCACCCAGAGATTCTTCACCCAGAAACTCTTCTTGCACAGACTTTTCACCCAGAGACTCTTCACCCAGAAACTCTTCTTGCACATACTTTTCACCCATATACTTTTCCACCCAGAGACTCTTCACCCAGAAACTCTTCTTGCACATACTTTTCACCAATATACTTTTCACCCAGAGACTCTTCACCTAGAAACTTTTCTTGCACATACATTTCACCCATATAATTTTCACCCAGAAACTCTTCTTGCACATACTTTCACCCATATGCTTTTCACCCAGAGACTCTTCACCTAGAAACTCTTCTTGCACATACTTTTCACCCATATACTTTTCACCCAGAGACTCTTCACCTAGAAACTCTTCTTGCACATACATTTCACCCATATACTTTTCACCAGAACTCTTCACCCAGAAACTCTTCTTGCGCATACTTTTCAACTTTTCACCCATATATTTTTCACCCAGAGACTCTTCACCCAGAAACCCTTCTTGCACATACTTTTCACCCATATACTTTTCACCCAGAGACTCTTCTTGCACATACGCTTCACCCATATACTTTTCACCCAGAGACTCTTCACCCAAAAACTCTTCTTGCACATACTTTTCACCAATATACTTTTCACCCAGAGACTCTTCACTTAGAAACTTTTCTTGCACGTATTTTTCACCCATATACTTTCACCCAGAGACTCTTCTTGCACCTACTTTTCACCCATATACTTTTCACCCAGAGACTCTTCACCCAGAAACTCTTCTTGCACATACTTTTCACCAATATACTGTTCACATCTTTTCACCCAGAGACTCTTCACCCAGAAACTCTTCTTGCACATACTTTTCACCCATATACTTTTTACCCAGAGAATACTTTTCACCCAGAGACTCTTCACCCAGAAACTCTTCTTGCACATACTTTTCACCCATATACTTTTCACCCAGAGACTCTTCACCCAGAAACTCCTCTTGCACATACTTTTCACCCATATACTTTTCACCCAGAGACTCTTCACCCAGAAACTCTTCTTGCACATACTTTTCAACCATATACTTTTCACCCAGAGACTCTTCACCCAGAAACTCTTCTTGCACATACTTTTCACCCATATACTTTTCACTCAGAGACTCTTCACCCAGAAACTCTTCTTGCACATACTTTTCACCCATATACTTTTCACCCGGAGACTCTTCACCCAGAAACTCTTCACCCAGAAACTCTTCTTGCACAGACTTTCCACCCAGAAACTCTTCTTGTACATACTTTTCACCCATTACTTTTCACCGAGAGACTCTTCACCCAGAAACTCTTCTTGCACATACTTTTCACCCATATACTTTTCACCCAGAGACTCTGCACCCAGAAA